CCTTAGCTCTGCTGGCTGACCTGCTCCTTCAGCTACGATGCTTCACTGTGGCTGGCTTGAGCCTCAATAACACCAAATTAATGTTTTTTCACTCAATTCTTAATATAATTGTTAAATGTCTTGCCTAGCAGGAATTGCAGAGTCTACAACAACAGGGGAATTCAAAAAGCAGCTACAAAAAGTAGTTGTCTCCCGTGAACTGGTTCCTGATTAAAGCCCAGTGACCTGGAGGCAAAGATGGACAGAGTCCATCCACACGGCGGGCACAGGAGATGAGAGGCTGCGCAGGGGGAGGGCTCACTGCGGGTGCTGCACCCCAAACTCCTCACCCCCCAGACTCAGGGTGGGGTCCCCAGAAGGGCTCCTGGGCCCCAACCCACTCTGGCAGCACCTACTCTAGCATTTAAGGATATTTCTTTGTGTCCCTGTCAGTGCAGATTTACAGTTTATGCACTTTTACAAACACATATCGCTGCTGCAAATCTGCAACCAAGAGAAAACGTGCCTGAGGAACGCAGCTCCTGGCTCCCTGTTTTCAAGCATTTCCAGAAACCTGGAGATGAACAACTTCTTCTTCCACTGCACCTCCTGGTGTCACCAGACCTGTGCAGGGGTGCAAGTGCTGCCAAGCCCAGGCTTTGGTCACGGCGCTGGCTGGTGCCTCTCAGCAGCTCAGCTGTCAGCACCGAGCAAGCCGCCTTCCTCGTGTTCGCTGTGGAGCATCGGAGCTCGGACTTAGCTGGACACAGGGCCAGAGGACACCAAGACACAATGCCAAGCAAAGCAACATCTCCCCCAGCAATTCTCACTCCAAAGGCGCCTCTGGGAAACACCTGGGCAAAACAAGTGCAACCATCTCCTTCCCTGGAGCACATTCAAAACCAGTTGGTGGCCCTGGGTGTGCCCGGGGCCCCATCCCTATTGCAATGCACTTAATAAAGCTCCAGATGAGCTGTCCCAGGCAACTACGGCTCCTCATACAAGCTTGGCAGGCTCAGCTGGTGACTGCTGTGTCTGCACTGAGGGCTGTTAGCTGATGGACACAGCTGCAGTACAGAAACAGGCTCTGTTCTGCAGGGAATAACTTCCAGATCAATATTATTTTAGTTCACAGCCCTTTAATTCAGGATGAGCTTTGGCCTCCTGCCTGACACAGCACTCTCTGAACACGTTCCCAGCACACTACGCTCTCAGCAGCAAAGCCCAGGATTTATTTCGTGGAGCTTCTGCCCTCCCCTGTCCTTGTAGGTGCCCTCTGGATGGACGTGCACAGCCATGGGGGTGCACAGGGCTCCAACGCCCCCGGCAGACAGTGAGGGGATAGCAGAGAGGAGCACGCAGGATGCACACGAGCCATCACAGAGCCCGGGTCCATCGCCTCCCTGAGCATCCCCCCCACCAAGCCTGTCTGGCATGGGGGCTCGGTGCTGCCTCCCCATCACTGCACATGGTCGAACGCGCACGTGCAGCATTCAGGTGCCTCCGTCCTGCCTCTGTCCCCACCTACGTTTGGTGCCTCCACGAGGTCCCATTTCTCATGGTGCGGTGGAGCAGAAGACTTGTCTGCAAGGATGCCCAGCTCATTAGTCCTGGAGGGGATTGGACACATTTTTTTGGCAAAAATGAGGCAGAAACAGACTATAAACATCCAGTGAGAATATGAGCAAATCAAAGGGAGGGGGTGAGCAGGGGGGGTCCGCATTGCCATTTGTGGGAAATAAAGATCTCAGCACCACTTTGAATGCGCTCCTGCTCTGCCCCAGACAAGGGCCAGGAGTGCGCAGGCAAATGCAGCTGGGTGGTGGGGCATGGAGAGCGATGTTTCTGCCAGGGAAGTTAACCCGGGGGGTCTGGATCCCTCGCCCACTGAAGGCTTGCACGGGGAGCTTCATGAGCTGGTCTGCAAACTGCTGCACACCTGGTTTAGGCTGTTTCTATTCAAGTCGACGGAGAAAGCTCTGTGCTTGCTTCTCGCCTCTTGGAAGTGAGCACAGAGGAATACTGTGGCCAGCTGGAAACCCTGCTAACTATAGTGCTCCGTGGGAACGCACTGTGAATATTTCCTGACACTCTTTACCTAAAGAAAAACACGCAGATGGCGAGATACAGGAACTGGGGGATGATGCTCCCACCAAGCACAGACAAGGCTGCCACGGGATTACTGCTTCTGGGTTGCGGCTCGGTCTGAGATGAAATCTCCCTCATCCCTCCCAAATTTGGAGAGGGTCTGAGCAACCTCCCAGCTCATCACCTCCCCAGGCTGGTACGGCCAGAGCCAGGCTTCACCCTGCAGAGGGAGATGGGTGTGTTTGAGACTCTAGACTGATTAAAAATGCAAGGATGTCGTTATCTTCCACGGCTCTCACAGCTCCCCTGGTACACAGAGCTTTGCACCAGCTGAGTGTGGCAAACGGGTCATCAGCTGGTTTCAGTCTTGGGGTGAGCAGCGACCCATGCAGCCTTGCAAAACGCCCGTACAAGAGGGACCTGGCAGAGCCAGCAACTGCCTGTGCTCCGACATTCTCCGTGGCACCACAACACGAAACAAAAGTTTCACCTTTAAAACCCCCTTCTTTTTGGTAGGATCTTCCATGCAGGAAATGAATGCATCCTGTTCATCACCCCTGGTCTGACACGGGTTAGCGTCAGAAAAGACAACACTTGAGCAGCGCCCTGCAACATCCAGGGACACTGATCCCCCACCCCAGCCCCTCCATCCCCATCCCTCCAGGGCCCTTTCCCCTGAGCCATGTCTCCCTCCTCCCGCAGAGCCAGGGAATGCCTCCCCATGGCTCTTGGGGTAAGAAAGGGGCTGGAAAGGGAGGCCTTGGGCTTGCAGAAGGATCTAGGATCCCGGGAGGGCAATAGCTCTTCAACAGGGGATCATAACACCCACAGTAGTCATGGAAATTTTCAATGGGAGCCATGCAAAGAATTAGAAAAATTTCTTTTGTCTCTCTTCTTACGCATTGTGCATTTCAAAATGCATCATTCAGATTCCCCTCACTTCTCATTTTAGGAAGGAATTTGAATAATGCTGAGCTATCCAAGGCAAAAGTTGGGTTTCCTCCAGGGTAGGCAGCAATTCCTTCTGCAGCCAGTTACCATGTCCCGTCCTCATTGCCCGCTCTGCCAGCACCGAGCCACTGTGTCCGAGCAGGGAGCAGGAGCCGTACCGCAAAGGGAGGGATGTGCTGCTGCTACACTGCAAACGTGGAGCTTAAACAAGGGTCTCTGACTTTCCTCTCTGCCCTGGGACACTTCCCACCATGGGCCAGTTTCCATCTGCCCCCTCTGTGAACACTGCCTTCCTGCATCCAGTGCCGTGGCCACCCTGGACTGAGAGGACGGGTGTCCCCAGGAGACACCCAGAGCAGCCCCCAGCCCTGCCCCAGCCACGTGCCGCATCCTGCCCCACACCAGCACAGGTACTGGCAGGCTTTGGTGGACAGGAGCCTTCCTTGGGGGATGCAGCATGCATCCTTGGGGGACGCCCCGGCATCCAGCATCACTGGGGCTGTCAGCCCGAACGGGAGCCCAGCAGCAAGGATGGCACCCCAGAAATAGAGGATGTCACCGGGAGAAGCAGCACACAGAGGAGGCCCCTGCTCTCCCAGGCAGCTGAGTCACACACAGGGGACTTCTGTGGGGCTGCTCTGGGGAAGGGGAGCATGCGGCTCGATGAGCAACGAGCCTGAAAAGCTCATTGCAGTGCTCCAGCCTGTGCAGAAGAGGCGAGACATGGACGGCACCATTCATCGGAGACCAAGAAACGCCGAGCGTTCAGGAGAGTGAACTGTAGAGGTCTCTGCGAGGCAAGAAATGCCGCGGTCCTGCAGCCCCGACAGCCGGGCGCTGCGGGGCTTGTGCTGGCATCGCCCGCCCGGGCCGGGCGGGTGGCAGCCCTCGCCCAGGGGGTCAGGGAGGGTCCAGCTGGGATGCTGTGCCGCGGAGGAGGACCAAGGGAGGAGAGGGCGAGGGATGCTCTCCAGCCTGGCACAGAGCTGGGACGCAAGCCTGGGTTTCCGAGCCATGTCCTGACGCAGCCCCTCACCGAGACCCCCATCGTCCTCTCCAGATAACTCACATTTACACCACAGCTGGAGCGAGCTCTGACTTTATCAGAGATTTAAGAAGTACCCGAGCACTGCCAAAGCCCTTCGGCTTTCGTCCATGCTGCTTTACCCTGCACCACTAGGAAATGGGGTAGCTCACGCTCACACACGTGTGTGTGCACATTTAACATGGAAGATCTGCACACAGTTTAACTACAGATGGTTCAGCCCTCCCCTGGAGAGACTGCCTGTGAAAGTACAGCTGAGCTGCTGCAGCTGAGCTGCTCATCACCCCGGGGACAGCGGTGACAGGAGCAAGCCCAGCAGTTTGACAGCAAGCGGGTAAGGAGGACGGGTCAGGCTCGGCACAGTCCATGCTCCCTGCCCCAAGCAGGGCAGCCTCACCTGCTTGGTTTCCCAGGCTGAGCTCAGCTGGCTCCCACTGCAGCCCAGGCAGTCACACTAACACAGCCCGCTGTACCATTGTTTCCAAGGTTTTTTTAATCATTTTTATTTATTGCACAGGCCTTTTTCCTCCCAGCACCTGCAAGGTGCACAGAAGGGATTTTCCTCCTCCCTCCTCGGTGCACCTGAGTACAGAAAACCTGACATCTGGCCTGGATTAGACTTGCCCCCCTCTGCTGTGGCTCAGCCCCATCTAAGGAGAGTTCCTCTGGGCTGATGCTTTTGAAGTTTCTCTTCCCCACCCACATGGCAAGCCAAGCACATCCTTAACTCAGGGCCGCACACTTTGCTCCCAGACAGAGGACTCTGCACTGGTGGAGGATACTGCCTGCATCCCATGGACAGAGCTCCTCACAGCAGCAAGGTGTCCAAGCACACGCCACTGGCCAGCCCAGGACATGTGCTCCCTGCAGCCGGGCAGCCCTGGCTGCTTGATGTGTTCAGAAAATGGGTCAGCAGGTCAGCATGGGACCCAAAACCCTACTGGCACTGCCCACAGGGGTGCAGCTTCCCTGGGCAGGCACACCGGTGCATGAGAGGGTCAGACAGGCACTTGAAGCCCTTGCTGCAGCAGCTGCAGCCATGCATCTTGTCCATGTGCCCTGCCTGCTGCTGGCTCGGCTTGGCCAGCCCCACCATGGTCTTCCCGCAGTTGGTATGGAAGCACCACTGGGACCCAGGGTGGCTGTGTTCATGCAGGATAAGGCCCACCTGGGAGCTGAACGTGCAGCAGGGGAACTGGCGCTCTTCAGGGTGGCACAGCCAGTGCAACACCAGCTCCAGGTGGAAGCAGAAGGTCCTCCCACACTTGGAGCACTGGCAGGGATGCTCCTTGGTGTGGATGCGCTGGTGGCTCTGCAGGGAGGGCTGCAAGCAAAAGCCCCCCCCC